AAGGTTGTTTAAAAGGGGTATTTTTGAAAAGTGGCATTGAAAAAGTGGTATTTTTGCAAAAGCCCCTAGAAATAAAAAGGATTTTTTTTTTTTTAAATAAATGTATTTTAAAATTAGAATAATTTTTATGAGTTCGTAAGTGTCACATTAAGAATACTTTCTAGAATCATAATATACGTTAAATTATATATGTAGAAAGAGATTTTTGTATTTTTCAAATGGTCAAGATAAAGTGCAAAATTTCACGTTGAAATCCTATGTTTACGAATAGGAATGAGTCTATGAAATCTATTTTCTATAAAGCAATTTTAGATGCACCAAAACATGGTAAAAAAAAGCTTTATGATAAACATCTCCTCAGATTTCTGTTCAATTTAATAAAAAGATCATGAAACTTATAAAAAAAAAATTGAGTATCGAATGATATGAAGGAGAAAATAGAAATGATCTAAGGAAAAAAGAGAGTAGATGTTGGGAGACGACGAGTGAATCATAGAAGATAACGAAAAATATTGTAGTGAAAAATGTGAGAAACGTTTTACTACGTTGGAGAAACTTTATATCTTACTCATATTTAAACATGAAACTTTTGAATTGAGATTAGAGAAATATAAAATTAGATAATTATATCTTAACATATAATGCGTAATTATTTTTAAATAGTTAGAGATAAGAAAACGGAAACTTATCATATATTTTAATGGAACAACAATCACTTTTAAGAATTACAATTATTTAGTAGAATAAAGAAAGTAAGAATTAATAAATACCAAATCTATATATATAATGGGAGAGTTTTCTCTCCATCTAGGGTGTCCACATCAGCATCCATGTCATCATAATTTATTTTTTTGTGGGCTCCACCTATTTCATTTATTAAAACAAAAACAATTAAACGAAAACTAATTCACACATTAAAAAAAAACAATAATTGACAAAAATTAATGAAATATTATGAAAAAACGAAAAAAATTGTATATTAGATCATATACAATATGAAAATTTTGAATAGAGATTGAATAAATATTAGATCATTATATTTTAACATATAATGAGTAAATATTTTTAAATAGTTAGAGATACGAAAAAAGAAACTTATCATATATTTTAATGGTACAAAATTTATTTTTTAAGAGTTACAATTATTTAGTAGAGTAAAGAAAATAAGAGTTAAAAAACCAAATTTAAAGGTTTTTACTTAAAATAGAAAGCAATTCATTTCTGGAAAATAGACATTTAAAATTTGAGTACCGATTAAAAAATAAAAAGAATTTAGAACATATTATTATTTATAATTATAATATAATATATATTAGTATATTTTCTATATTATTAATTTTTTCTAAATTAAAAAGTGAATACCTAAAAAAGAAAAACTAAATATTAATTAGTGTTTAGAAAATTAACATAGATTGAAAAAAATTAAGGTGATTTGCAATAATAAAAAAAAACTATCCTGAACTTCAAAAATAAAAATAAAATAATCTTATCGAGTATTAAAACTGTGTAATAATAATATTTGAGAATGCTATTTGGAAATTAGAATAGTAATGGTAGATAGAAGAGTTTTTCATTAGAAATAAGGGAAATTGTTAAAAATACCCCTTTTGGTGTGCCTCTTTTAAAAAATGCCCCTTTTAGATGTCCATTTTAAAAAATGCCCCTTTTTAAATCTGAAATTTTTATAAAGTTTTATTAGGTTTATAAGGTACTTATGGATTGTAACTACTACTTGAAGACTCGATCCAAGTATTTATAAAATTTTATAAGGTGTTTTTAAAGGTTTTACAAGTTATTTTAAAGAATTTTTAAGGTTTTTCAAAGGTTTTACAAGATATTTTAAAGGTTTTTAAAAGTATTTAAATGCATTTATAAGGTATTTATAAAGTATTTATAAGATTTTAGATACATAGAAATGTAGTTTGTGTATGTTTTAATAATATTACATACATATTTGGGTAAATCTTATATTTTTAAGAGCATTTTTTATAAGGTTTTTTAAAAGGGGTATTTTTGAAAAGTGGCATTGAAAAAGTGGCATTTTTGCAAAAGCCCCTAGAAATAAAAAGGATTTTTTTTTAAAAAATAAATGTATTTTAAAATTAGAATAATTTTTATGAGTTCGTAAGTGTCACATTAAGAATACTTTCTAGAATCATAATATACGTTAAATTATATATGTAGAAAGAGATTTTTGTATTTTTCAAATGGTCAAGATAAAGTGCAAAATTTCACGTTGAAATCCTATGTTTACGAATAGGAATGAGTCTATGAAATCTATTTTCTATAAAGCAATTTTAGATGCACCAAAACATGGTAAAAAAAAGCTTTATGATAAACATCTCCTCAGATTTCTGTTCACTTTAATAAAAAGATCATGAAACTTATAAAAAAAAAATTGAGTATCGAATGATATGAAGGAGAAAATATAAATGATCTAAGGAGAAAAGAGAGTAGATGTTGGGAGACGACGAGTGAATCATAGAAGATAACGAAAAATATTGTAGTGAAAAATGTGAGAAACGTTTTACTATGTTGGAGAAACTTTATATCTTACTCATATTTAAACATGAAACTTTTGAATTGAGATTAGAGAAATATAAAATTAGATAATTATATCTTAACATATAATGCGTAATTATTTTTAAATAGTTAGAGATAAGAAAACGGAAACTTATCATATATTTTAATGGAACAACAATCACTTTTAAGAATTACAATTATTTAGTAGAATAAAGAAAGTAAGAATTAATAAATACCAAATCTATATATATAATGAGAGAGTTCTCTCTCCATCTAAGGTGTCCACATCAACATCCATGTCATCACATTTTATTATTTTGGTAGGATCCATATATCTTATTTATTAAGAAAAACATATTAAAATAAATTAATTCACATAATTTATATTATTACCCTCCATTTAAAAAAAAATTACAAAAAAATTAAATATGAAAAAACGGAAAAACAAATATAAAACAGATAATGAATAATTATATCTTACTCATATTTAAACATGAAACTTTTGAATTGAGATTGGAGAAATATAAAATAAGATAATTATATCTTAACATATAATGCGTAATTATTTTAAAATAGTTAGTGATAAGAAAACGGAAACTTATCATATATTTTAATGGAACAACAATCACTTTTAAGAATTACAATTATTTAGTACAATAAAGAAAATAAGAGTTAATAAATACCAAATTTAAAGGTTCTTACTTAATAAAAAAAGTAATTTATTTCTAAAAAAAAAAAAATAAAATTTGAGAATATATTTGTTAAGGTTAAAGTATCAATTCCTTATACCGGTTAAAAAATAAGAAGGATTGAGTACATATTATTGTTTATAATTATAATATAATATAAATAGTTAAATTAAGAAATTTGTCTATATTATTAATGTTTTCTTAATTAAAACATGGAGGGTTTTATATAAAAAATAAATACCTAAGAAGAAAAACTAAATAGTAATCAGTGTTTAGGAAATTAACATAGAATGAAAAAAAATTAAGGTGATTTGAAATAAAACAAAGACCTATGTTTTAGTAATGGTATATTGAAGAGTTTAATAAAACTGTGTAATAATAATCTAATCGAATAATAAAATTGTGTAATAATAATATTTGAGAATGCTATTTGGAAATTAGAATATTAATGGTATATTGAAGAGTTTTTTAATTAGAAAGAAGAATGATTTTGTTTTTTTTTTTAAAATAAACGTATTTTAAAATTAGAATAACCGGATTGAGGACGAACGGCGAGGTAGACAATGATTGTGGTTGATTTACTCTTACTTTGTTTTGTTATTTCAGTTTCCCTGTTTTTGTTTTACTCTGTTTCTAGCAAACTCTTTATTTGTTTCAATATTAAGACGACAAAAAAAAAAAAAAAATAGAATAACTTATGATTTCGTAATTTACATATTTTAGAAAAAATCAACACTAAGAATACTATCTAGAATCATAATATACGTCAAATTATGTATGTGAAAAGAGAATTTTATATCTTTCAAACAGTCAAGATAAATGAAAAACTTGACGTTAAAATCCGATGTTTGTGAATAGCAATGAGTTTATATATGAGATTTGTTGTATACAAAAGAATTTTACATCCACCAAAACATGGTCAAAAAAACCTTATGACAAAACATTTCATAAAATTTTCTGATGTTCACTTTAATAAAAAGATTATGCAACTTATAAAAAAAGAATTGAGTATTCAAAGATAGGAAGGAGAAATGATATACGATATATCTTGAGAACTAATTCACAATCGAGTATATTATATATGAGTCAATATAAGGCGAAAAGAGAGTAAATATCGGGAAACAACGACTGAATCCTAGAAGATAACGAAAGAAATTGTAATGAAACGTGTGAATTTTTTTTTACTATATTGGAAAGATAATGCACATGAATAAAGTAAAAAATATTAAATTCAACTGATTAGATTTATACTCAAAGATTCGCATTGATAACCACACTAATTAAAAATCCCGCGCAACGCGCGGGTACATAATCTAGTAACATTTAACTAACTAGCCTGACAACCATATGCTTTGTAGTTTGTCGAAGAAAAAGTACAACAAAGCTATATGAAGATTTTCTATGAGCAGATTGTATTTCTTGGACAAATAATGGGTTCGATCAAGATTTGTTTTCTAGGAGTACCAAAAGCAAGCATGACGCCATTACGAACATAAAGTTCTGGAATCCTAGAAAGAGGCTGCATAATTTTAAAGGGATATGACAGATTCTTTATGGTCTAACATTCTTGCCAACCCATTATCCTCATTCTGTTCTAGATTCGTAATCTCTAATAAAAAATATAGCTCCATGAGCAAAAGCTCCTATCATGATGAATCCTCCTACAATGTATTGGTATTCAAGATCATCATTTTCAAATTAGGCGTTATAAAGCTATTGTATTATTATTTCTGCTTCTAGGAATTTTCAAATATCTCAATATATTTTGTAGATATATCTCAACAAAGCTTTAAGCATAGTTTTTCTTGGTTTGTAAACATATTGCTTAATGAAAGTGGAAAGAAACTATGGTACAGCTGATTAGTATTGGAGTATTCATATTCAAAGGTGAATGTGGGTTTTTGACTTCTTACAACTTCACCAATCTATATATATATATACTTGTTGAAGAACCCACATGAAATGACCCTTTCTTAAAGGTTATCTTGGACCTGAGGGGTAATCGTTTTCGATAAGGGAATTGGAATAGGGGATGAGCCAGTCAGTGCCAGCATGAGGATAGGCTTGATAATTAAAATCATGTATTGGCATCTCCTCCTTTTGCCAGTCTTCCCATCGCTCAGCTAAACCATCTCCTTCCAGCATTCTCACTACTTCTGACATCTTGGGACGTTCCATCGCAGAACTTTGAGTGCAGAGCAGAGCCATTTGAATCAGCTGCTCCACTTCTGTTTCCACGTACTTTCCTTCGAGTTCTGCGTCCACAAGTCTATCCAACTTCTTCTCTTTCAAAACCTCTTTCACCTAATCATACCCATAAAACAAACATTCTTCTTCATTGCAAAATGACTATTTTGGACTCAAAAAGATGATTGGGAACCATAAAAAAACACATACCCAGTCGAGTAACATGATATCATCATCATTTGCAAGCCGAGCAAGATCGAAAGCTTTCTGTCCAGTGATGATCTCGAGAAGCATGACCCCGTATCCAAAAACATCAGTTTTCTCAGAAGATTTTCCTGTCGAAAAGTACTCAGGAGCTATATGGCCAAATGTACCGCGTACCGCAGTTGTCACATGGGAGTCGTTATAATTCATTAATTTTGCGAGCCCAAAATCTCCAACAACAGCTTCAAACTCTTCATCTAACAATATATTCGCAGCTTTCACGTCCCGGTGAATGATTTTTTGGTTGCCATGATCATGTAGATACGCGAGCCCCCTTGCTGATCCCAAAGCAATATTCTTTCTTTTTGCCCAATCAAGTGGTGGATTGCCTTCAGGACGTTCTAAACAGGGAAAATCAAAGATAAGATACTTTACCAACTGACCCAATTTAAAACCAGTCAAAACAAAACTATATAAGGATCAGAAAGTTTTTCTTAATTTTCCCAAACAGCTGGAGACCAAGTCTCCACCCGCCTGTGGTATACCATATGCAATCAAAGTAAAAAGATGAAGAAACTGGAAGGAATAATAACTTTTAGAACAAAGAACGAGGTACCTTTTAAACAAGAAGCAACACTTCCATTAGCCATGTAGGGATAAACAAGTAATCTTTCAGTTGGAGTCATGCAAAAACCATGAAGCCGAAGCAAGTTCCTATGAACGGCCATACTGATCATCTCAACCTCAGTTTGGAACTGCAGTTTCCTACCCTTGGTACATTCTTCTCTTAGCCTTTTCACAGCCACTAGAGAGCCATCGGCTAAACGTCCTTTATACACTTTACCAAAACGTCCTTCACCCAATACATTTCTTTTGCTAAATTTCTCTGTAGCAACTAGCAGTTCACGCAAGGAAAACCTTTTAAATTGTCCTAAATGAACCTCTGGATCTTCCTCAACTGCAAAATTTGGTTTACCAAAACAGATTAAAATCAGCCAAAGAAAGATTCAATGGGAAAATAAGTTAAGAGAGTTGACTAACCAGGTACATCAAAAAAGTGATCCTGCAGTTTTCTTTTCATCCACCAAGCAAGCGCAAATAGAAGTGCCGCACCTGCAACAACTCCCCCTGCTATTGCTGCAGTCATTCCTGAGATAAACACAAAGCTTCTTAATACAGAACTTATTCACAATTGTGTGATATATTGAAGAGTTTCATGGGCAAAAAATTTGATTCATCAACCAAGTGGAATGTTTGAGCAAAAGTGAAAGAGCTAATACATTTTTCAGATCAAAGACCTTCAAAAGTGTCAAATAGATCTTCAAGTCCTATGTTACCCACATATATTCCATAAACTCTATTTTTTCATACAGTGGCCATTAACCCTTCTTACTTTACCAAACTAGAGAGTTCCACATTGTTCTGCTCCAGCAGACTGGCAAGTTCAACTCAATTTCTCACTTGTCTTATCCAAATGTGCAACCATTAATAAATAAAAAGAAGATAGTGGATTAATGTCATACCACTAGGAGATAACTTCCCAAAAGTATTTTTTGTGCCAGCCAGAATGGTATGCATAAATGTGTGAGTGCTATATGTGAAAATGCCATACTTTACCAGCACCCAACCATTAAATAGAAGAATGTGGAAGGAAACTAGACACTGAAACCGACAAGATATACATAAAAGACAATGAAAGACGTAAAATTAAAACCTGAAGGTGATGGTGGTGAAGATGCAGGTCGCGGCCTTAAATTATTATTGGCAAAACTGCAGATAACTTTCAGACAATAAGTAATTTATTCTGACCACTCCATCAAGAATAAAACTAGGAACAAGAAGGAAAACCTAATAGAAGTGAACTGCGAAAAAGAACCATTTACAGGAATATCTCCACTGAGCCGATTGTTTGAGACATCCCTGCATTTCAGGATGATATCGTTAATGTCATAACTCAAGATTGCACCATATATAATTCAGGAGAATAAAAGTTATACTCACAGATCCTGCAGTGGCACAGCAGTCAAAGACCTTGGAATTTCTCCAGATAAGCTGTTGTTATTAAGACGCCTAATCACATACATTATAGCAGGATACCATGTCATCAATATTAACCACTAAAGAGTTCAAAATGACAAACAACACGTTTTGTCTATAAAAATAATGTTGTTAGGAACTAGTGCTGTTCTGAAATCATGTCCAACAGCATAGAACCTTCAGGGCAATGGCTGAATTTGTTTATTGAATTCGTACAATTAGCTTCTAACTACTTCTGAAACATTCAAGCTACACATGTACACTGAAGTTTCTGATGATAGGCCTTGGGTTTAATCCAAAGCTAAGGCAGGATATTATCAAATGTCTCCTTACAGGTGCAGACCAATGACATACAACTAAATTCATTAACTCAATAGCTTCCACTAAGGATCACAATGTGACAAAGGACTATGCTGACGCAGTTAATGACTGTGAATTCTTTATAAGTGATGTAATATATTCCAAGGGTAATATTTTACTAAAGACTTCGGAATTCTTTTACTATATGAAATAATTTAGCAGAAATGTGGGGGTAGTAAAACACTGCTGCACTTAACAACCCTCTCCCTGAAATAATTACACTAGACCGTGACCTTCATTAAGGTCTGGAATGTTAGACGCAATAATTTTTTAGAAAATAAATACAACAAAACTTTGAAACTGTAAACAATGAAGCTGCATTTTGAAGCGGTAAAGAGAAGAAGGAGAGTATGGTACATACAAGAACCGGAGTTTTCCTAGTTTGCCAAGAGACGAAGGGATGGGACCACTTATGCTGTTCGCGTAAAGATCCAAGCTTACTAGTTCCATCAAGTTGCCAAGCTCCTCAGGTATCTCCCCAGTAATGTTATTGCTATAAAGCTCCCTGTCATTAAGCTTTGCTTAATTATATTTTTGATTAGAGAATTCTTAGATTGGAAATATATCTTAAACTACCAAAAATCCATGTTAAAGAAAACAAAATGCAATATGTAGCAAACAAGATACTTAGTAATTTTAAACACTATATCAATATTAGAGACATTGACGAAGCGATGGTTTACAAGTACTGCAAGTTTGGAAGCTGACCAAGCTGTGGCACCAGTTCTCCAGATAGATTAACATTTCCCAGGTCACTGAGCAGTAAAAGGGTTGAATCATTTAGTTACAAAACCAGCAGAGAGACAGAGAGAGAGGGAAAGAAACTTACACACGAGTAACACTGTTTTCACTATTGCAAGTTATATAAACCCATGAACATGGAGTAACATGAGTGACATTCCAGCTTTGAAGTACATTGTTAGGGTCAGATAAACTGACTCTTAGAGCAGATAGAGCATCAACTGTAAAAAAAAAGAAAGTCGTTGCCTTTAAGGGATCAAGGGAATACACTAGAGAAAAGTGAAGAAACGAACCTTGTGTGTTTCCGGTGACTCTGAGAACCAAATCGAGAAATAGAATCAGCCAAATAAAGCCACGGGACGATCCTTGTTCCATTTTCCACTTCTATGACTAAAAGCAAAGTAATTAGAAAGGTTTTGAAACCCAGTAAAAGAATCTCGGACCGTCGAAATCATCATTGACTTAGAGAAAACAAAATACGCGTAATCGGCCGTTGACCAATTTTGGAAATTTCCGATCGAGGAGATTCATGCTTGGAAGTTGGAACATTGGGTTCTAAGGATTAAATTCTCATCGGCCCCTGTCCTCATATGATTCTCTAATTAGCCCCGAAATAAAAAAACTTGAGTTAAATTAATTATTTTAATTCTGAAAAATAGTAAAAGACAAATAAAACGTGGATTTTCGACTTATTTACTAACCCAACCGCAATTTGGATCTAGATCCACATATATTGGGTCGGATTTCAGATCATTTAATACTAAAAGTCTCAAAATCGAAAATTCCAAAATCAAATCCCTAACCCTAAATTTTTTTCCCCTTTTCTCTAAAACCAAACGACGAACCGCCGTTTTCATCTCTCGCCTCTCGCTACTCCTCTAAAATTCACTTTGCAAGGGTTTTCGATTTAGCGTTCTTGGAAAAACATTCCTACTTCACAATTCACAAAACCCAAAAAATAATTTGCTAGAGATTCGTTGTCACTCTCTGAAGAAGGAGAAGGAGAAGAAGAAGAAGGAGAAGGAGCAGGAGCATGAGAAGAAGGAGAAGGAGATGGAGCAAGAGATGAGTTCGGCTCCTATTTTGATCTCTGATGATGAGTATCGCTTGTATTTTGGTGTGTGATGTTGATGTATAAATCTGTGTTTAGGTACAACTGATACGATTAGATACAACTATGTTTCTGGGTTTATGTATTTTGATTAGGTATGAATCTGTGTTTATGTACAACTGGTACGATTAGGTACAACTATGTTTCTGGGTTTATGTATTTTGATTAGGTATGAATCTTTGTATCTGAATCTAATTATGTATGAATCTTTTAATCTGAATCTTAATATTTTTATGTATTGAATATAATCTAAGGGTTTTGAACCAAAAAAAAAATAAAAATTCTATATTAATCAAAAAAACTGACAAATATGTGGGTTTGTAAGGGTTTTGAAAAAAAAAAAAATAGTGAATATAATCTAGTTGTTATTTTCGTCTACATGTGGTACTTAGTTGTACCCAGACTAAAATTCTGGTGTGTGATGTTGATGTATAAATCTGTGTTTAGGTACAACTGGTACGATTATGTACAACTATGTTTCTGGGTTTATATATTTTGATTAGGTATGAATCTGTGTTTAGGTACAACTGGTATGACTAGGTACAATTATGTTTCTGGGTTTATGTATTTTGATTAGGTATGAATCTTTGTATCTGAATCTAATTATCTAAAATTTGCCCAAAACAAAAAAAAATCTAATTATCTAATTATGTATGAATCTTTTAATTTGAATCTTAATATTTTTAAGTATGAATTTATGTATTGAATATAATCTAAGGGTTTTGAACAAAAAAAAAAAAATCTAAATTAATCAAAAAATCTGACAAATATGTGGGTTTGTAAGGGTTTTGGAAAAAAAAAAACAGTGAATCTACCTGGCGCCGTTATTTTGAAAAAATCTGACAAATGGCATACATGGTGCCGTTATTTTGAAAACAATTATTAAATAATAGCTCAAATTTGTTCATAGTTGTACAGTTGTACTCGGTTGCACATTTTTGCTCATAGTTGTACAATACAGAGATTTTAGTAAATCTAGTTGTTATCAACTCTAATTTAATTTTTGTTGGTGGAACCGATGGTATTGTCTCATAAAAATACCACTACTTTGTATCTGTGCATTTATATTTATCAAAATACAAGTATTTCAAAAATTTATAAAATTTTAGTTCAAATCTACAAAGTAACCATGAAAGTATAAGGTTGTTAGTGTATGAATGTGGGATTTTGAGTAAGAATTTCAGTATTTTTCAAAAATATGAATTTTTTTTGTCAAAAACTTGTTGTGTAGTTTCATTACAATCGTTTATGCATTTTTTAAATTTTTTTTAATTTGGTTTTAAATTTTCATATTATATAAAATTCTGAAAATTGGCTAAGGCATTAGACCTTAGTTGTACCTTTGGTACTTAGTTGTACCCAGACTGACAATTTGCACAGATACGAGAAGAAAATCAACCATAGTTGTACCTGCTAAAACTTAGTTGTACAACACATAACATATAAGTTTCACAAACAAAACCAATACAAACAACATGGTTTCTTAAATTAACCTAATAAATAGCATTGAGAAATCAACCTTGACCACCTGCATCGTCTCCATCATCGTCTCCATCAACGCCCAAACCGCTCGATCCATGCGACCTCTTCTTACGTCCTCTTCCTCTATGTTCTCCAACGGAGGAGAATCTTGTTTCTTGTCTTCTTCCTTGTTTTACCTCATAATCCGGAGGATAGGCAAACAGTTGTAGTATCTCCTCAGGAAGAACCCATTGACTATTTTGGGGAACCGGATAAATTGTCCTCGTATACGCCAAAACCCAAAGCTCGATCCAATAATACTTTGAGCACAAATCATGTGCCCGGAGATCGGGAGCTGCATCCTTGTTTGATGTAAGTGTAGCCGCTATTGCATGCACACATGAATACTTGTCTATATCAAAACGTCTACAACTGCATGTTTTGCTTCTCAAATCAACCAAATAAGCCCTTCTTCACTCAAATCAACCAAATAAGCCCTTCTTCACTTCACACACAACATCTTCATCATCACGAATATAATTTGGTCTTAGCTTACGTCCTTTGAATGTGAAGGGAAAGTAACTAGCTCTCAGTTTTGTCGTAGCCTCATCTACCTTTTTTTTCCTGCAAATCTTCTCAACCATCTTAACATATGATACTTCCCCTTTCGATTTATTCATAAGAAAAGAATACACTTATTCATCTACTCCATTAAAAATCCAATGTACATCTTCTCTGATACGTGTATAGTATCCGTCATAAGCAAAGCGTATGACTGAATTCCTTTTCATTGTCCCTGAAAAAGAAAGAGAAAAAAACGGCCTATAATTTCATAACTTTCGTAGTTGTACGCATTTTTCCCAGTTGTACCAAATCTGCAATCCTAAAATATCTCGTACGTTTAATGTCGTAAAAGGTGAGACATTTGGTAGGTTTGTTTTTCTAATGAGAGAAGAGAGAGAAAGTTTTTGATTGGTTGAATAAAAAATATGTTGATATTAAATTAAATGTAGAATTAAAGGGATAAGGAGTAAAGTTGGTTTATGGAAAAATTGGGAAGGAGAGGGGGTAGTGAGAATAAAGAGGGGTTTTCCAAAAATTGATTCTCCCCAAAGGGGCTAGAGAGATTTAAATCCGTTCTCAAACTTGGAGAATTCTCGGCTACTTAGAAGAAGAGTACGATCCACAATTGGATAAATGGGCCTAGTTAGGCCATTAGACACTTATTTCACTTTTAAAGTTGGGTAATATATATATATATATATATATGAAAGTTGGCTAATTTTGAGTGCCACATTATCACAAAAAAAAATGATATATATCATTCTATATTATTTTAAAATAATTAACAAAATTAAATAAAAACAAATTAAACTTCTTTATTGCATTAAATTCTCCATCAGTCATACCATTAAATGATTTCTTCAAAATAAAATAAAAAATTACAAAATTATGTTAATAAATCAAACACTACTTTCATTCTATTTTTCTTATTTACTAATATTTTATTATTGGTCAATTTTCATTACTCGATAATGACTAAAAATTTATTTTTGTTGTAGTTTAGTTGTTTGTTACATATCTCTTATTAGTTTAGTTATTTTATCTTGAATCTTTTCTCATTATTACATTTTGTGGTTCCTATACGACTTATCATATGTTTTCTCTATTTTCATTTTTTTTGCCTTATGGTACGTTGACAATATTGACATGCAAGTTTTTTCAAGTAATGGGCATTTGAAACGTTAGACATACCACAAAATTCACGACCATTTCTCTTATGTGGTTATATACAATGGCAGTAGGTCAAAAAAGTGTTGACTAAAATGACTCTTTAATTTTTGCTTTCTTTTTCTTCTTTTCATATATAAAAACTTTTGAGGGCTTGTTCAAATCATATCAATCCAGTGTTTAATCATGAGCCTATCATGATGTGATTGGAATAAGGAGAGTACATAGGGCAAAATATTTTTAATTTATAATCTAGTTAGACAAGTTTTAAATCACACAACGAACATAATTACATATCATTGTATCAAAATATCAGATATTTTTGTTGTATGTATTCATGATAGAAAAAATATTAGGATCTTAAATACAAAAATAATTTGATTTATGCACGAACAATTTGATATTTCGAGTGAAAATAAATCTAACTATAAAAATTGTAACTACATAAGATGTGTCTAAACTAATCAACTACACAATAACAAACAAAAAAATAAACATAAATTAGCAACAAAATCAATTAACATAATTCTTTTTTAAGAATTTACAAAACAAACCCACGCGTAGCGTGGATATTCATCTAGTATTAGTAACTAAGCCAAATTTTGGCTAAGAAACTAAGACCATCTCCAACCATGGTGTATTAAGTTGAGGCTCTTATGAATTGTTTAATATTAATTTTGAAGATATGTGCGAAGAAAACCCTCTGATTTGGTGAAGAACCCCTTCGATTTGGTGAATTCAAAACTCTTCGATTTGGCTTCTGGAGACTCGCCGAGTAGCTTTTCCAAACATGCTGATGTTGATACTCGTGGAGATGATGATATTGGTTAATAAACCCCTCCGATTTATCACTGTTTGCATGCGATTAGATCGAAGAAGGAGAGAGAAACATAGATTTTTTTTTGTCGCCAAAGAAACAGGAGACTTTTTTTCCCCTTTCTTAACCAAAAGCTTCGACCAATCAAATTGCGACACGACATCGAGTTTTATGGGCTCTATAAACTCTCATTTAAGACTCGTTTCTTCTACTGTTTGGCATTTTTTGATTAATTTTTGATCCAAAAACAATAAGAGCCCATGATGTATTATGTTAAGAAGTACCGTTGAGGATGGTCTAACCTTTGACCAAATTTTTTTGAAAAATAACTCTTTCTCACAAGTGGTAATGACCAAACTATCCTTAGGCTAAGATTATTATTACAACACAACATCATCGTCAACTAATTTCATTTCCAACGATGGTTCAGAGGATGTCTTACGAATAAG